TCAGATAAAGAACAACACATGTCAGAGAACAAGGATGGCTGTGGGAATGAAGGACATATGGCCCAAGCCAGTCTTCATTCTTTTCTGAAGCACTCTGTCTTTCCACTGCCCCACACCCAACTGTAGGGTTTGCTCCCCCATTTGCTATAATGCAGGGAAGATTTGGTCATTGAAAAGGTTTTGGCAGCAAGTTAAGGGAAAGAAACTGTAGTGTCATGCAATGGCCTAGAGGTGAGACAGTCAGATATTCAACTCAAAATCCTCAGTGCTGTCAGCATTTTGCCTTTTAGGCAAATGGCGTTTCAAGGACAAGAAACAGTACCAGGATGCTTAGGGAAGAAATGGCTGGGACTTAGAGATGTAAAGAAATGTGAAAGAAGAGGTCAGTGAGATCAGGCAGCCAGGGGCTGAAGTGTCATCCCACTGCAGTGTGGGCATATGACTTGATAGTGACCCCTCACGGGGTCACAGCAGAAATGGCAAGAGCAACTATATCAGAAAGCATCAGTGCAGGGTAAGTTCAGGATCTTTTTAACTCTGTTATTTGCAATACGGGAGCATGGCTTCAGTGTTGGCAGGCTGAAATGTCATCAGGCTTACTCACTAGGAGAGTTTTCAACTCATAAGAGTCCTCTTCTGCACTTAGCTAAACATAAGTGTAAGCAAACGAAAAACCACCAAAATCCACCAGCCCATTTCACCAAGTTATTATCCTTCTGATGTCAAGAACATTCTACATCATTCCATTTGTCTCTAATGTTTATCCCATTACTGAAGTGAGGAGTGAGTGAGAAAAAGCATCCTTGCTTTCATATGGGATCTGTATTCCTTGGTTTATAGCCAAGGCTAAGAAGGAAATAAGAGCATCCAAACAGACTGGCCAAGGGAGAAGTTTCTAAGAATATTCAGTGTCAGAGGAGCTGGTAATTAGGGACAGGCAGCCCCAAAGTGGGCAAGAAGCAGATAGGCAGGCAGGCAGGCAGGCAGGCAGGCAGGTCTGAGTCAAGTCACATGACATCCTAGAGCATTGTCCATAGCTGTTGAGATGCCTCAGTAGGTCAAGTGACATAACACTCACTCTACTGTCAAGCTCTCAGATTTGGCCATTATTCCTCTGTACCAGTGACTAACCTCCTCTCTTCTAGAGCTCGCTCTGTCTTCACAGCTATCACTAAGAGGCTTTGAATCATGGGACACCCACAGAGTGCATTGGTTCAGACATTAAGACCCAAGCACTTGGTTGTGGCCAAGGTAGGAGGATCAAAAAAATTAGATGGCAGGACTGGTATAGAAGTGTATCAGACTAATCCTCCTCCTGTGGTGCCAGCTTCCCATTTGAGCATCAAATCAAGTCCCAGCTGCTCCACTTCTTTTTTTTTTTTAAAGATTTATTTTTATTTTTATTGCAAAGTCAGATATATAGACAGAGAAGGAGAGAGAGAGAGGAAGATCTTCCGTCCGATGATTCACTCACCAAGTGACTGCAACAGCCAATGTTGCACCTATCTGAAGCCAAGAGCCAGGAGCTCTTCTGGGTCTCCCACATGGGTGTAGGGTTCCAAGGCTTTGGGCTATCCTCGACTGCTTTCCCAGGCCACAAGCAGGGAGCTGGATAGGAAGCAGGGCTGCTGGGATTAGAACCGACACCCATATGGGATCCCAGCACATTCAAGGTAAGGATTTTAGCCACTAGGCCACCGCACTGGGCCCTGCTCCACTTCTGATCCAGCTAACTGTTGGTGGCTTGAAAACGCAACAAAGGAAAACTCAGGTCTTTGGACCCCTGAACCCATGTGGGAGATCCAAAAGAGGCTCCTGGCTTCCAGCTTTAGAGCAGCGCAGCTCTGACCACGGTAAGCATTTGGGGAGTGAACCAGTGTAGAAGTCCCTCACTCTCTCACCCCTCTCTGTCTACTTCCGTGTTTCTGTAGTTCCTTAAAAAAAAAAAAAAAAAAAAAAAGACAGCTAACTTTTTGGCAAAGATCTATTCCCCACCACGTTTTGAAAACAGGAAACCACAGGTAAGGTGAGCCCTCAGTGTCTTATACAACTTTCCAGCATGAACCTTGCCTGTAAGGGTTTACCTTGGATGTGTGGGAGGAGCGGTGAGGGGGGCATGAATTGGAAGGGAAGAAAAGAAAGAAGCAAAATGAAGTTCCAACAGTTTCTCTCAATAGAACTCCTTTGAGTTGTGTATTTCCCCTATGTGCAACACCTCTTGCACATTACTGCACCCTCTCACTGCAGCCTTTGCTACAGCAAACAGAGGTGCACGCTGACATCAGTGTCTTCCTCAAGCAGCCATTCTGATACTGTACCTAGCTAGTTATTAGTGCTGCCTCAAATAAAACATAGTAAAAATGACAACCCCCCCATTAAAAAATATATGTGATTTTAAGCTGCTGGGTTTGTGGTAATTTGTTCAATGGTATAGAAAGCAAATTCGTTTCTAGCACTTGCTACATCTCATTTGCTTTTGACTATTTTGCCAGGGCTACACTATTCCAACTACTACTGACAGTTTAAAAAGTATTTGAGCAAAGTACAACAACTGGCCATTTAAACATGAGCATGAGGGGCCCAGCACTGTGGTATGGTGAGCTGCCAGCATCACATATTAGCGGGCCTGGGACCAAGGACTACCTCTGCTTCCAATCCAGCTTCCTGCTAGCGTATACTCTGGGAGGCAATGAATGAAGACTGAAGTATCAGAGTCTCGACCACCTACATAGGAGAGCCAGCCTGAGCTCTGCACTCCTTGCTTAGGCCTAGCCCTGTCCCAGCTATGGTGAGCATTTGAGGCAGGAGCCAGCAGATGTGCGCGCACGCTCTCTCTCTCTCTCTCAAATGAATAAGAATAAATATTTAAAATTGATATGAGGAAAAATGAAAATTGCATTTCTGCAAGAGGGCACAGCATTTTTTAAAGATTTATTTTTATTCAAAGATTGACATAGAGGAGGAGAGACAGAAAGATTTTCCATATGCTGGTTCACTCCCCAAATGGCTGCAGCAGGCAGAGCTGAGCCAATCCAAAGCCAGGAGCCTCTTCCATGTCTCCCATGCAGGTGCAAGGTCCCAAGCCTAGGCCAGGTGAAAGCAGGGAACCAGGACTTCATTGGGGTCTTCTACTACCAGTCTCACTCCTCTTGGGCCATGATCCACTGCCTCTTAGGCTCATTAGCAGAAAGCTGGATTAGAAGCACAGAGTACCTTAAGACTCAAAACAGGCCCCTTTGTTATCACATGTAGGCATCCCAAGCAGTGGCTTGACCCACAGTGCAACAACCCCACTCCTAGAGAGAAATTTCTTATTTCACTCTTTCTTAATGGATGTGGTGGAGTTAGTAATGTAACTATTATGGTTTTGGACAATCAGTTTCAGGGTCATGAACTTAGAAGCCATGCCTCTCCTATCCCTGTAATCCTTTCTACCCACCTGTGAATCAAATGATGCTCACCTATGATCACCTGGAACCTGAGGAGGGAGCGGTATTGTGTTGCTGTGTGACCACTCTGCTTTCAAGCCCCCGTAAAGGCCCATGATGGGGAGGGGGCTCAGTCTGTCGGTCCTGTACTTTCATCACTCTGGCACTGAGTCTAGGATTCCCGAGTACCTGCTTGCTCGCCGGTTTCCATTGGATAGACTCTGAGGACAAAGGTAGCTCTGAGCATGGTCCCTGCATGTCTGTGTTCCTCACCTTCTGTTCACTGTTTGGGCGAGTCAGCGAAGATGTTAAGATGCATTGCATTACTAATTTTTGTACTTTCAAGAGATCCAGGAGAGGTGAAGTCTAGTATTAAAGGAATGTGGACAGAGAAGCCAGGAAAAGGTAAATGTTTGCAATTTTGTATGTGTATCCAGATTCTTCCCTGTACTTCTCTTCTGGAACATAGGTCTTCAGTTTAATGAGCAGATATCACAGTAATGACCATTTCTTCCTCTCAGGGTTTCGATTCAGACTGGATTGCCACTGTGACTTTTCATTTGCTAATTTCTGTTATCACCAGATGAATGGTTGCCTAGTACCTGCAGCTAGTAATTAGGAAGGTGGGACTCTGAACATGTCGGTGGTTCCTGCAGTAATAGGCAGTGCTATCAGCAAGCTTAGTTAATAAAGACTTCTTAGTACATTTTACATGTATGTCTGGCATAATCTCTCTGGCACCCCGCAACAGTAACAACATTTTAGGGGAATTTTTTAGAAAGAAGAGATTCTTAAACCAAGTATTCTGCATTTTTAAACAGATTTTAAAAAATGTTAGAAAAACAAGTTTTACCATCTTCTTTGATTTTCCCATTTAATCTGAAATTGTGATTAAGTATTACAACTGTAATCTGAATCTGCAATCTGAATTCATGCATGTAAATGTCACTGTAAAATGAGAAACATTATGTTATTATTTATTGATCCTATGGGTTTCTTGAATTTCACTTATATTGAGAGTAATCAGCTTCTTTTTCTAAAGGAGTGTGTGAGAACAGTCATTCATGGATTTAAAATACATCCTGATAAAATCTGACCTTGGAAGTTGGGAGGCATGCATGCTCTCAAATGATGATCTCATTTAAAAAGTAGATCAAATAGGATTTAATGGACCATAACACTGTGGTTTTAAATTAATGAGTGTATCTAGTAAAAAGCTTTGCACTGGAAAAGGAATAGGAAAGGTCAACTGAAATACTGTAATTATTTTAATAATTTTAGTATCTCACTTATCAATATGTCAATTATTTTGACAGATTTAGGGAAGCAAAAGCAAAGGATTGCAGCATTTAGCACCCTTCCCATATCATTATAAATCATTTATTAAGTGTTCACATGTGTGTTATCCGTGATGGATTATGCATTCAAAATGCATGCATCATCCAGTCTTCAAGAAAATTTTGACTAAACACTCTAAAGTCACAGTTCTGTGCCTCACACTGGATCTTTATTTGGTCTGTCAAAACCTTGAAAGTCATTACATCCAAAGAAAAGACAGCAGACATCTAGCCAATCAATTTTATTTTTAATTACTAAGCATGTTTTGACCTTCGTGTTGAGATATAGTGGAGGACAGAAAAAGAAGGAAAGCCAGGATTCCTACACTTCAAACAATTAAACTCATCTGGAGGCACGCTGCACAAGACAACAAGATGTAGAGAGATACACTGAGTAGCATTTGGACAGCATAAGATCACCTAGTTCAGAACAACCCCATCCAAGGACGCAACATTTGTAATCACAGCAGGGAGTGGAGGGAAGTGGTTGCACATCTTGGGAAATGGGGAAAGGCCTGTACTTGTGTTGTAGCCTGCCAAATACCAGTGACTGCTTAAGTTCCACTTCTGTCACTTTCAGTTGGCTCAATTCTAAAACAGAAAGTGAGGGCTAGATTCCCCAGCTATAACAGTCTAGGCTCCTAAAGACAAACATAGAATTCTTGGAAAAACGAGGGTGTTACAAGTAGGAGGGTTAAGCACAGAGCAATAAAGGTGGCAGGGGCAAACTGATTGTACATGGGCAAGGTATGCTGTGGGACAGGCAGGACCTTCAACAAGGCTAATTAAGTACAAAGGCGATAATCTTGAAGATGGATGGGATAGCGTGCCGAGTCACTAACTAGGGGCCTAAATGGAGACAGAGGTAGTGGGTTGCCTGTGCTCATGCTCTGACTTCGCTTTATGCTCCTCTCCATGCTATGCGTTCTTTCTGTATTGATGGATCTTCATCCCAGCCCCTTCCCCAAACCTACAACCTACAGAGAGTTAAGAAGAGGTGTGGTTACAAAGATGCCCTCTTTTCAGACCCGCACAAGCAATCCCCTTTTGTAGGCCAGGAAGCCAAGAGCCATGGCTGAAAACACAGTGGTGAGTCCCATCAGCCTCAGCAGGCCAGGCACCGAGGGCAAGTTCCGCTCCAGGAAGGTTGTGGTGATGGGCCGAGCAGGGACGTCCTGAGTGGAGAGAATAGCAGCCGTTAGTACAAAGCCCGTGCACTGCATTCTACAAAGTCTGCTCTCCTCCAAGGCTCTAAACACCACTCCTGTTTGCAAATCTCTAGGTCATGAAATGGGACATTGCCTCCACACACATGGTTCCCTTCCTCTTCCCCAGCGAACATGTCACTGAACTGCCCTCCTCAGGGAGCCTTTCCTGAGCATCCAGCCTTTCATTTTACATATTCCCCCAGCATGCCTTCTTCGTCACACTCTTCCTTTTTGGTTATCATATCAGTCTCCCCACCCAAGACTCTAAGCTCCACAAAAGCATTGCTGCGTCTTTACTCCAATGGTCCATGAACAACATGTGGGCTGTAAATATTTATGCCGTGGGTGGATCATGGTCCTTCCCTGCACCCTACAATCCCACCTTTAGCAGATGCATTTGTAGGAGGGCTTCACAGAGAATACCTCTGACCTTTTCATACCTTGTCCTCTACAGTGTGTTTTCATTGAAAAGATTTATTGATTTAGTTGAAAGGCATAGTTACAGAGGGAGGCTGAGGGGGTAGGGGGAAAGATCTTCCATCTAGTGGTTCTCTCCCCCAAAATGGATGGGGCAGGACCAGACCAAATCCAGGAGCGTAGAACTCCATCTGGGTCTCCTACATGCAGGGCAGGTGCCCAAATACTTGGACCATCCTCTGTTGCAGTCTTAGGAGCATTAGTGGGGGACAGGATTGGAAGAGAAGCAGCTGGCACCTAAACAGGTGCTCAAATGGGATGCTGACATAGCAAGTGGTAGATTAATCCACTGGGTCATAACACTGGCTTTTACAATATGTTTCTACTTCATCATTTCTGTGGCCTTCCTTTTGCCCAGGAAAACTTAAGGGGCTGAATTACAAAAGTTATAAGTATACTGAAATTGAATTATTAATCTAAATATGCTCTAATTCCTTCTACTTGCTTGCCCCTGGACATGGAATGTCAACACACTTTCTTTCGTTGTTTTTTTTTTTTTCCTAACTCTTGTTGAAAATCACCACGTTAGGCATTTATTTAACAAACATTTATTGTTTTCTTAGTATATGTAGAACTTAAAAATGTCTCCCATCAAAAAATATTTTCAGGGGCTGGGGCTGTAGCATAGGGATAAAGCATCCCATATAGGCACTGGTTTGAGTCCCAGTTGCTCCACTTTCAATCTAGTTCCCTGCTAATTCACCTGGGAAGACAGCAGAGGATGGCTCCCGTGTGTGAACCCACTTGGGAGATCTGGAACAAGCTCCTGGCTCTAGGCTTTGGATGGGTCCAGCTCTAGCCACTGTGGCCATTTGGGGAGTGAACCACAGGTGGAAGATCTCTCTTTCTGTGTCTCTCTGCTCTCTCTTTGTCTCTGTAACTCTTGCTTTCAAATAAATAAGCACATCTTTTAAAAAATCATATTTTCTTCCTAATAATCCCCCATGGATGTGGCACGTACGAATTTATCGAAATTCATCTAAATTTTCCACCTCTGTCCTAACCCATAATGCTATTTCAAACATGGACTGAATGAACAGATATACACATTCGTTCTTGCAAGTCATTATTTGTACAGGAAACAAAAAACCATCTAAATTCTTGAAATAAAATAAAGCCTACCACAGATTCTGGTTCTGGCTGCCAGATTTCATCCTCCGGAATCTTCCCCACAGCATGCAGGATCTGCAAATGAAAGAGCCTCTTTGTGAGGAGCAAAAGGGATCACGATCACTTCTCCCAAACTGCTCTATAAGAGACTAAGTAAATGTCTCGGGCTATCCACCCAAAACATCCAGCTGAAGTCTAGAAAAGTCCACTCCACCTTGCAAAAGGACCAAAATGGTTTCTGTCTATGCTTTCACAAGGTTCAACTACTAGGGTCACAGTAAGTTTTCTAAGTTAGGAGCATGCCTTTGTAGGCATGAGAGCAAAGGAATTTTCCTGAAAGATCACAAATGCACGTTTGATTTTGTGATGCTGGGTCTAGGATATTGCCCAAGGAGAGCCAGAGTGATCTTTTGCCCCATGGGTTCTTTTTACCTTGGGGGAGATATTTTTGCCATTACTTTTGGGTTAATATGCTTGCTCCATCTGGAACTTATGCGGGGAAATGGGTGTTTAGTATCTTCAGAAGGTAGTTAATGGTGGAGCTGGCCTCCAGGCTCTCAAACAGCTTTGATCAGCTCAGCATATACCAATGGGTTGACTCCCGGCCCAGGACCCGAGCCCTACCTCCCGGGCAGCTCTCTCTCCAGCCTCCACAGCCCCCTCCATGTAGCCGCTCCAATGTGTGGCAGTCTCGGTGCCTGCAAAGTAAATCCTGCCCACTGCCTGGCGTAGAACCCTTGGAATGACAGCAAGAGGTTAAAGCAGTTAGTCTTCATAAGTCAGCCAAGAGCTTTCCCATAAAATACTTAGGCTGCCTGCTTTGCTCAAATTCTAAATATCAAAGGGACACTGGTAATTTGGGAACAACGTGAATCAGATCCCTCTAGTTCTTGCCTGATCCTTATCACAGACAAAGTGGAGTAAAAGCTGAGAGTTTAGAGGTAAAGGAACTGAAATCCATATTTGTTGAGTACCTAAGCCAGTCACACCTGGCATTTTTAGGGCTCACTAGTTCTAGGCAAGTTGCCATGTGTCTCTGATTTCCCCTAAAGTTATTCCACCATTGACTTCAGCAAATCACTTACTCTCACTGGCTTCCCCCATATCTGAAAGGGAAGAGAGACTAACAGTTTCAAAGACATTTTCCATTAGTAACATCTAACAAATCTGTGATTTTGACCAGGGCTCCACAACTATTCTTCATTGAACATCTGCCAGTATTGAGTTTCACTGCATTAAATTGCAACAGTCAGTCAGTGCTTGGCACCAAGTGCTATTTTAGGCACGTTAATCCTCATCACAACTATTTAACGTTATTATATCCATTTTGCAGATGATTGTACTAAGGTAGATAGTGATAGACATGGTGATATGTCACTCAAACCCCCATTCAAGAATCAAACATTTACTCCCACCTATGGGATGGGCTACCAGGTGATGGCCTTCCATCATCAGCCCTCTTTGAACATTGATTCTGATGAAGAAAATCACCTCCCTGTGGGTCATGCTTCCTCTGAGCAAGGGCATCCAGTGAGCACATGTCCAGCCCAAGCTGCAGTTTCCAATCTGCAATCACCATGAAGGACCATTCTAGTTCCAGAGTTCCCTGTGGGGCTCAGCTGGGGACTTTCAGTGGAATTGCACTGCAACCCAACTTCCCGCTCTGCCTGCTCCTGCTTGCGTCCTCTCTCTGTCCGTAGGAGTATCTTCAGCTATATGCTGTCTGTCAGTCACTGTTAGGCAGCATAGACTCTGCTGCCTGGCACCTAACCAGCCATAAAGACTGAAATGGCTCTAGAGCACAGCCAGTAAGCAGCAGAGCTGGTCTCTGAACCCAGGTGACTGTGTCTCTTCCATTACAGTATGCCTTCAATTTATTGAAAGTTTCATTAATTTTTTATTTAGTTGAAACAGAGTGAGAGAGAGAATTTTACGTCTCCTGATTCACCTCCCACAAATCCTGAGGCTTGGATAGGCTATCCATGTATCCTACATGGGTAGCAGGGACTGAAGTATTTGAGCCATCACCTAGTGTCCCTAGGGTACAAACTAGTAGGAAAGCTGGAATGGAGAGCAAAGTTGGGACTTGAACCCAGATACTCCAACATGAGATGTGGGTATACAAAGCAGCATCTTGACTGCTGTGCCAGATGCCCACCTCAGATGTAAATAAAACCTTCATGACACACAGCTGCCATTATCATGATTTCATATCATACTTGAGAAAACTGAAGCTCAGAGAAATGCTCAGTGACTCACCAGGAGCCACACTACTATATAATAGCAAGGCCCCAAGACTTGAACCAAGTCTACCAGGTGGCAAAAGTGTCCATTTGTCATATAATGTGTCATTATCACTAATTAACAGTGAATACTTATGGACCAATGGTGTGGTACAGTGGATTAAGCCACTGCTTGCAATGCTGGCATCCCTATTGGAGTGTCAATTTGAGTCCTGGTTGCTTTGCTTTGGATCCAGCTCCTTGCTAGTGTCCCTGGGAAGTGGCAGATGATAGGTCAAGTATTGAATCCCAGCCACCTATGTGGGAGACCCGGATGGAATTCCTGGCTCCTGGCTTCATCCTGGCTCAACCCTGGTTATTCCAGCCACTTAGGGAACCCATAAATGGACAATCTCTCTCTCTCTCTCTCTCTCTCTCTCTTTCTCTCTCTCTGTGCATCTTGTCTCTTTTGGCTACTTTTCCTTTCAAATAAATGCATTAATACATCTTTTTAAAGATGCAAACAGTGCTCATATGTGATGCAAAGGGTCCTAAATGTCACAGACTTGGCTTAAAGAGGGACAGTGTGTTGTTAGTCTCTCAAAAAATACTGTAAGGTAAACACTGCCAACATGTCACATCCATCCTGGTCCCCATTTCCATTACATCAGGGAAGGAATTTCAGAGCTAATGCCCACGTCCCATTCTAGTCAATACTATATACCTACTGAGCCTTTTATCCAGAATCCAAAGCGATTGGCGTGAATGGGTAGGTTTTCTTTCATGTCCTCTCACTGCAGCCATTGAGAAAATGCACTACATTATAGAATATTAGTATACTGACAATAATACATGGAATCATTTGGAAATACTGAGAACCTGCAGGCATTCAGAATGGGCTCTATGCAAGAGAAAGTAAATTTGCTTTCTCTGTGTCCATTAAACACTACCGCTTATTACTGCATGTTCACTGTTTTAAAACAGAGGGAACTAACTGCTCTTGGCATCTCTGGGAGGCCTGGCCAAGCCCTGTAGCTAAATATTTGAGGAGACAACAAATGCTTTGAGAACTAATCACTGTTACAATCACTAATTTTAAACAGATGGAGACAGCCTCGCTTCACTCATGCTGACACTTTCTTTCCTAGAGGAAATGAAAGTGCAACTGTTAGCAAAGAAAAATCCCAGGCTCTTCCTTTGTAAGTAGACAGTAGATATTACAAAGGATTCAGGACATAGATCGTAAAGGAGCGTTCCACAGATAGTTCTCCTCTTTTATGTGTTTAACTGCATAATCACCACAGATTTTTTTTTTACTTCATCTAAAAGGGAAAGTCTTTGATAAATGTACCTAGTTATTTTCTTAATTTTTCAATATTTTTAAATGTGGGCGGGAGGAAGAAGGACAGAGAGAGATAGAGAGAGAGAGAGGTTTTCCACCAACAGGTTCAGTCCCCAAGTGCCTACAAAGGCCAGAGCTGAGCTGGGGCCAGAACCAGGAGCTGGAAACACAATCGCGGTTCCTCACAGCCATTACCACTGTCCCCCAGGGTCTGTTCTGGTGAGAAGCTGGGAAGCAAACCCAGGCTCTGCAATGTGGCAGACAAGGCCAAATGCCTGCTCCCTGCTTATAGCTCCTCACTAAGGTGGTATTATTAATTCTGCCCTCTGTCTTCTATCTGGAAGCAGACCACTTGGAATTTAGAGATAGGCTTATTTTGGTTAAAAAAAGTTCAAATCCATGCCTAGGGGTTTTTTTTTTTTTTAAAGATTTATTTTTATTATTTTTTCATTGGAAAGGCGGATATACAGAGAGGAGAGACAGAGAGGAAGATCTTCCATCCGATGATTCACTCCCCAAGTGAGCGCAACGGGCCGATACTATGCCGATCCGAAGCCAGGAGCCTCTTCCGGGTTTCCCACGCGGG